TGGTAAATGCAATAAGGATTTCAAGATACCTCGCATCACAGGTACATAATTAAATGATCTTACATCTTTAAAACGCATGGGTTTTATTATTATATTTAATTTTTTCTTGTTATTTTTAGTAATTGATTTTGAAGCGATAATATTGTTTATTCCCTATTTGTTCTTATTTATCATATTAACTAAAAATTGGCAGAAAATGCGTTAAAGAATTTGTAATTTGTAGTTTTATGCAGTGAACACAATTTTTGGATTGCATTAAAATGTTTTTATATTGATGTAAATTTGTACGTTTAAATTTTTATTTTTAGTATTGGATCCCGCAAATCCTAACTTCGATATTTTCGGGTGTTACATTAACAATATGGATGCATCGTTTATCGATGTAATCCACACGGACAAAGCTTGGCTTGGATTACTTGGATATGGCTCCGACTTTCAGGGAACAGCAGAATTCTTCGCAAATACCGGCAGTCGTCTTCAACCTGGTTGTCCGGGTTTATCATTAGCAACATTAATGCCATTAAGCGATGAAGGTAATAATCAATGCAATGATAATAATTAATAATAATTTATACATAAATATGTTATCGCGCCGTTTCATTACAATGTAAGTAAATTTTAGCAAATTAATTCATTATATTTATTAATTTGATTTAATTGTTTATCACAAGATCTCTGCAGTCATCAAAAATCGGTTAAAATGTATGCAATATCAAAGATTTGTCCCGCCAAATTAATTGCGGTGCAATGTTCTTCACATTCAGATTATATTAACAATAAATGCAAAGATAATAAGCGGAGTGGAATTGGATATGCCGCCGCATCGAATGTGTAAGATAATAATTAATATTTTATTGTATTTAAAGATTAAAGTATAATTTTTTAAATAATAATATTATTACTTGTAATGTATGTATAACGTTATATATTTTTTTGCAGAACCGGACCTTTTTATTTTAATACAACAAATTTTAATTTTAGTAATAATGACTGTCTAATATGAAACTATAATTGTATTTTTTTAAATCTGTAGAAACAAGTATATGTTTATTGTAATAAGTGATGCATGTATATTTGAAATATATATCTTAGATTTAACAAACTATTTTTTTGCACAATATAACAATATATATCCTGACCGTCCGTGTATAACACAAATTAAATTGATAGAGACCATCCGCGGTCATAGCGTATTTTTTTACAATTTGTTTAATTAATTTGAAATAAATTTTTTTTATCAACAGAACACTAATGAATTTTAAATTATTAATACATTAACTTTATATAAGCAAAATATAAAAATTTTTATTCAAGAAATAATTAAATAATGCTATTGCGAGCCGACACGAATGTTGGTGTGCGTAATAATTTTTATTATGCGCGCTATGATTTGTTAGTATAAATTTACGGTAAATTGTAAAAAACTTATGTATTTAATTTTAAGCAAATACAATCTCTTGGCTCATTAAATAGTTTTACGCATTTATTTCTGCGGAGAATCCCATAGGCCTATTAAAATTTTTATATTTTTTGATAATTATTATTGTTATAATATCAGCCATACGCAAACTGCGCGCCGTATTTTCCTGGTCTTAATTTTTATTTAATTTCAAACGGCGTGTAATGTTTACATATTTATAATTTTTTTAAAGAGACGTGTTTGTAAATTAATGTTATATTAACAATTAAATTCTCAGATGCTTTTTCGACATTTTAACTTAAAAGAAAATTTTATTAATTCTCTTATTAAGATCATGTTTCGCAATTTGAGTTGTCAGCACAGAAATGGTTCTTTGTTTCACGAGGGAAAACTCGATTTCGACTAATATATAAAGTAGATATTAGTGATGTTTATTATTTGGTGTGGACTGTACAAAATTCATCATTCGCAACTTATAGCGGTTTCGGCTGGTCTGCACTAATCTGCACAAGTGTACCACCAATGCACAGTGTAGAGCTGGTGCAATGGATGCAGCGCAATTACACCAACTGACCCCAATTAATTTGTGAGAGCCACTTTGTGTACACCCAATATACCCCTGTGCGGCATACCAAGTTCAAACGCGGCATTGGGAAGGGATTACATCATTCGATCAGCTTAACACACAATATTCGAAATGTACAATCGATGCATCCCAGCCGAAATTGCTATGTTCTCCGAAGCGACCAGACAGAGCAGTCAAATCTAATCTGTCAAGCTTAAAGGCAAGAAATTCGTAAATATTCGGTTAATTACTATTATTTATAACAGTTAGTTATGTCCCCTTCTGCCACAAATGCTATAATAACACGACCAATACAAAATCAATTTAGAATTCTTAACAAAATGAATTAAAAATGTAATTTATAAATATAAATTCCACAATCAAAATTAATATACAAAGATAAAATAGCAAAAATATATTACATGTTTACTTCGGGTAAAATGGTTGAAATTCATTTATGATAACATTTGCTGCTTGTGGAAGTTTTAGAATTATATGGTATTCGAAGAATTCAATGATTATATTACTTGTATTACATTTTTAAACATTTTGTTAAGGATAGACATTAATATTAACATATGTATGCAATTAGTCCCATATTATGTTGGATGATTTATAATTGCGTAATGCAACTGAAGAATTAAGAAAATTTAATATTGAACGACTTTAAATAAATATTTTAAATAAACTATTCAAATATGGAGCCGTTTTAAAAAAAAAAAAAAACTTTATGAAGTACGAGACATTTTTACTGTATGTCTTATCAAGAAAGCAATTATAATGACGTTTTAAGAAACGAAACATGCGAATGCTTTTATCTATAATTGATGAAAATTACAAAAGTATGGAGAACTTTTAAGATAAAACGTGATAACAAAATACCAATTTTATTTTTTTCTGATAAATTCTTGAAGAACTAAAAAGAGAACTAAAAGAACTCAGTTTAAAAAAATTTAAATAGGCGTTTGTCTGAAAACTTTATACGTGTTTTTAAAAAATCTATTAAACTAAATCTAAGAATAAGTGCATTTTAAGACTAATATTGTATAATATCAAGTTGATAATGAAATGTATTAATAAATAAATAACTAGATTATTATAAAATGATTATTACAAAAAAAAGACTACGTGAATCAAAATTCGTTTGCATTATTAGCGCTCTGTTATGGAGAAACCGATAACATAAGTGTGTTACTTGATTGGAGCAAACATTCCAAAGGTCCTTACGAACCCGTTTTCCAAAATGCTGAAAAAATGGAAAAATTATTCTTTAAAAGTATACGAGAACTCAATAATTCCGGTCTTGATACATCCAAAATTTACATTGTCGCACACTTATTGGGCACGAATAGCTGGTTTTATCGATAAATATAATAAGGACTTCAAGATACCTCGCATTACAGGTAATTAATTATCTATATTTTTGAAATAAGTGTGTCTTAATTTCTGATAATTTTTGTTATTTTAAATAATTGATTCTGCATCTGAACATCTAAATTGGAATGAAAGTGAATTGGCGTTTTTGACCACATCCATTTCAATTTACTTAAAATCCTGACGTGCTAGGCAAATTCTGCTAACAACATTGTGTTCGGCGCAAAAAAATCTTCGGGAAACGTATGGTCGCACTTCGGAAAGAGAAAAAAAAGTGTTTTTTGTAATACAGTGTATAAAAAGTCAAAAAGTATAAAATTCAAACAGCCATAACTTGATAAAAAAAAGTCGTACGGTCATGAATCAAAGTTCGTTTAAAATTCTCTTGAATGATACTTTCAGATGCTGTTGAATTTATTTAGAAACCAGTTTCTATTTTGCCACAAGCTAAATGTTAAAACGTCATTTTTGACCACTTTCATTCCAATTGACCCAAAATCTTTACGTGCTAGGCAAATTCTTCAAACGGCATTGTGTTCAGTGTGAAAAAATCTTGAGAAAACGTATGATCGCACTTCGGAGAGAGAAAAAAAGTGTTTTTTTGCAGCACACTGTAATACTAAAAGTATCGTACTTATTATATCTTAACGTACATTATAATATCTTAACAATCATAGTGATGGAACTATCATGGAAACAAATTTAGACAATTCATTATCCTAACAAAGCATAATACATTTTATTGCAAATAATAATATTTTAGTTAAAATTATAAATTACATTTTTCTTTTTTTTTGTTAAGATTCTTTAAATATTTTTGAAAATTTGATAAATGTATGGAAATATATAGAGAAAGCTAAATTAATGCTGCGCATGACGCTAAATGTCTACGCTTATGAGAAACGACATAATTTGGCTTATGTTGCAATTTAGTTTACATGGAGGTGGCACGGATATATATTACGTTGGAATCGAGTCTCTGTGTAGAATGGCATATCGTCGACACGATCCAGTCAAGGCCTGCATTAAAAACGTGTTTGTCTCGCAGTTATAAGTGAGCAGTTTCTTTCGTGATTCTTTGAAATGTTACTGTCGATTTTATATCAGTACGTTCTATTATTCTTCATGACAAGGATAATGCACAGTCAATCGTTGTGTTCTTGTATGTATTTTTCAAATATTTTTAAAATTATTATTTTATAATCATCAAGAATACGTATTAATATTGTACGCTGTTCTTCAGGTAATCAAACGGATTTAGATTTTGCAACCGGCATCAACCTGCTCTATTACAAATGGTTCGTATCCACAGAAAAATGTTCAAATAATAATTAGCATTAATAATCAGTGTGAGTGCGCGCTTCTCAGCAATAGTGAAATTCCTGCAACAATTGCCTATCCCATCACAGTGCCACAGACGTTATTGAATGTGTTGGATGATAATAAACGGATAATCTTTTACGTTTTTGGATATTTGCAATTTCCGGAGGACACAAATGTTAAATTAATGATGGAAGGTATAATATTTACATGTGTGGGTGTGGGTGTTTAGACGAACAGATTATTATGCAATCAGCGAGAAACGATTAATATATACATTTATATCATTAGCGCTTTGTTACGGAAGAACGGACAACGTTGTGCTACTCGATTGGAGTAAATACTCTGAAAACGGCACTTACGGATCCGTTTTCAGAAATGCTGAAAAAGTAGGGAGTTTATTTGCGCAAAGTATACGACTACTTGTGGATAGTGGCCTAGACATATCGAGAATTTACATCATCGCGCACTCCTTGGGCGCACACATAGCTGGCTTCGTCGGTAAATGCAACGTCTTCAAGATATCTCGCATTACAGGTAATGTAATTAAATTATCTTCAATACGGATGTGTTTCACTTTTATTTTTAATAATTATTACAATTAGATTATTTTAAATAATTGATTCTTAAGTGAAGGTTATATTTTATGTTTTCTGCTAATCTTCATTTTTCACCTTAACGAGAGATTCGTAGGAAATTTGCTAAGAAATTCGTAATTTATATACTCTTATGTGGTGCACATAATTCGTGAATTGTTCTAAAAAACGTTCCTCGGTGTAAAATTATCGTTTGCAGCATTGGATCCTGCGAATCCTCTTTTTTATCTTCCCGGATGTTACCTCACGCGTAACGATGCGACGTGGGTCGATGTTATCCACACGGACATGGGTGGATATGGCACCCTAACAGCTATGGGTACAGCGGACTATTACGTGAACGGTGGAACTCGTCCTCAACCTGGTTGCAAATTCCTTGGCTTACCGTTAAGCGATGCTGGTAATAATAATTGATGCCAATATAAATATTAAATATAGCATTGTCATCTTGTTGCAGTGTTAATTGATTTCAGTAAATTAAGTTATCATTAAATATTTATTTTAATGTCAATATCCATTGCTTAATTATAAGTAATTATTAATATTAAGAGAATTTAAATTAAATTAAAAATTATCGTTTATTTATTATCAAAGATAATTTATATAGCATTTATATAGCAATTTTTATTTAGTTTCGAGTATTTAAAAAATTATATGAGTATTGTTTAAAATAATTATACCAAATGTGTCTTGATATAATATTGCAAAGAGTCAATTTATCAATGGCTTTATGCTAATTGTTTCTTTTTATGTTGCTACTAGATCTCTGTAGTCATCAGAAATCAGTCGTGCTGTACGCAAAACTGAAACGTAATCCTACCAAATTTGTTGCAAAGGAGTGTTCTTCTTATTTTGGTTACAAATTAAATGATTGCTATAAGACTTGGCAGATCAGTGTTGGATATACAGCAATAGATATGTAAGATAACACTTAATTTACACAGATTTTAATTATTTCTCATAAGTAAGCAGATTAACAATTGCTTTCATAGGGTAATATATAAAAAATATTAATTTTTAATTTTTTTGCAGGCGCGGGTCATTTTACTTTAATATAAATATTATATAGCATGACTATTGTATTCAATATGGTATTCAATATAGCAACAAAGGTTTGTAGAAAATATAATAAAAACCGCTTCAGATTTTATACTATAAATTCGCACATATGTTGACAATTTTAGCAATAAATTATATTTCTAATTGTTTTTCTATATTTATGTCAAAATTTTGTCATCTTAAATAATTCGTCTTATGTAACTATCTCATAAAATCCAAAGTTGTCTGGTCAATTTGAAAAAAAATAGATTCTTAGATTAAAAAAGAAAACTAAAAAAAGATTAACAGTACAAAACAATTTATTTTGTATTATCGAGTACAAAATAAATTGTTTTTATAACAGAACACGCGCATGCATCATATAACATAATGTTATATTAACAAAAGAAACTGTGATTGTATCATTATGTAATATGTTAAATAAATTATTTTTTAATTATATATTCCGAAAATTAATTAAAATGGGAAAGTTTCAATAAGAATATATCAAATTTATAAATTTTAGGTTACAGAATTATAAGTGATTCAAGTCAAACGCAATAATATTGAGTGGAGTTTGAACGTTAAGCGTTGCAATTATGCGTGTATGCAATACGCATTCCGATTACTCTATTAACTTTCACAGCTCAGCTAATATTGATTTTTATTGCTGAACAGGTTTGTTTTTTGTTTGTCATGTGTCACTAATGCATAGATTATAGCAATCATCATAAGATGAAGCAATATTTAAATTTTTCGTACATATTCGTCAATATAATAATTGATACTTCTAAAAAGTTTCAGATCTTTTTGGTATTTGATTCCGTTCATAATACTATTTTAAATAGTACTATTTTAAAAATAGGATATATACATTAATAAACTATACATTAACAGAATAGCAGCGAAATGTATAAGGAAACATGAAAAACAGCTTGTTTTGAACTCGTCTTGTCGTCAAATCAATCAATATTAAATTCATCTTGAACGAGAAAAATCATTCACACAGTTTACGAATTTTAGCGAATAATAGAGTCAGAGAATAATAAAGAAAAATAAAGTACCAGCTGCGTAAAAGATATTGGTAGAAAAATACCCGGCGCATCGATATGAGGTATAATCTGTATATAAATAGTACGGCCACGAGACAGCCACAGACAGCCGAGGCTGCTATCTCTTATGAGGATCCCTCATGTTTATGTTAATAACGGGCCAAATTCCATGCCAGTTTGTAAAACAGAACGATCCAGCGATCAGCAACTAGACACCTGTACTAACATACTTAAACTTACGAGTATTTAAAACAAGACTATTCAATATTCAATTTTAAACAAGTTGTGTCGATGCTACTTGAGGTCTTTGTCGCAAGCTACGTTTTTCATTGATAAGTATCAATTTCGCATTTTTGCCCGTTCGAGATATCACACTGCATCATGGGAAGCATTGATGGGTTTAACTATCTAACATCTCGTAATAGACTTAACAGCTAAAATTCATTTATAAGTATAAAGAAAAGCGATCGCACAATCTATACATGTAACATTTTGAAAAATGTACATCAATATTTATCGCATAAACGTTTATCGATATTATATCCCCGCTTTATTTTATCTCTACAACTATTTATAAATAATTACAAAGTTATATATAAGTCGTAATTAACGGGGTACAGGATATTACGAGCTGTATATACGGATTACTAACCCGTTATTATTAGTGTAATTACTCTCCTCGTTATACGCAATTTCTCAGCCGGTCGCTAAATCCGCAGTCGCATATGCTATGCGTCGCATAAACACACTCGGCGCTCTCAGCAAGAGATATCGTCACTAATCCCAACTTAATGAGAGCCCTAACGGGGAACTTTGATTATTGGCGAGCGACGCGTATTAGAATCAAGTGAATCCATAAAATAAGTCCGCGGTTGCTGGACCATGTTGTCGCTCTCTCGGAGATAATTTACAGAGTGGAACAAAGCGTGCTTCTTGCGCGATTTTTGCGCGATCGTATTTGTCGTCTTGTGCGTGATATGTCACGCGCATGAAAAATGCATTGAAATGTAGACTACATTGCCTACTACTGCTTCGATCGTTTAACTTTAATCGATATACATATATATTCAGATTTTATTTAAGATTTTACCATAAATTTCAAGCGCCATTTGCTTTTGAAAAAAATTTTGTTCTGCCTCCGATAATTAACTTTCAAAGCTCAGCTAATATTGATTTTTATTGCCAAACAGGTTTGTTTTTTAGTTCTCACTATTGCATAGATTATAGCAATCATCATAAAACGAAGCAACATCCAAATTTTTTATGTATATTCGTTAACATGATTGGTACTAAAAAATTTCAGTTTTTTTGTCTTTGATTCTGTTCACAATACTATTTTATTGTCGTTGCAAATTAGTATGAATAATAAATTAATAGCCGTGATATTATCACAGAATGATGTCTATAAATATCATACACCTAACACTGCATTGTAGCATAAAATTATATAAAGGCAATAACATTAATTTTTATTTTTTAAATTTAATTGTTATCGTTGAAGTTAGAAATTATTAATTTAAGCTCGTAGATTTATTGAATAAGAATAAAAAAATATGTAGGTATAAAAAAATATGCATAACAATGCGTATAATAAATGAAAAATAGGAGACGACTTTCAATTATAATAATACACAGATATACAATAATACACAGTCTAAACTTAATCACACAATAATTGTACTATACGAAATAAATTGCATCAGTGCAATTTTTAAAAGATGCATTTATGTATGTAGAAGAGTGAAAGAGCATCGGTTTCTCTGAATATTTTCCGGCATTGAAAACAAATTAGCGTGTCTACCATTCTGTCTGCCACGATTAAATCGTCCGTTGCCTTTGTTTCGGATTCATAAATGGCACTTCCGCCCACGTTCCACGCGCAGGTCTGAAAGGAACTATGGACCAATTTGGTCGATTGACGCACGAGCGTCCGATTATAATTTCATATCGAACGCTGGCCGTCATGAATAATAGATACAGATTGTTTTCATCCGCGATACTCGTCTGTCGGACCGTCCCATCATGAGCGCTCGGTCGCATTCCTCAGATTTCTTACATCCTCAAAAGGCATCCCATAAACGTAAATGAGTGTTGCATTTATAGTTTATACAAGTGAAGGCTTTTATGGAGTGGCGCATAAATCGAAATGCACAAGTTAAAGTCGTGAAATCGAAGATGTCAGGAGTTTAATAATATCGTTAGTATTAAAATATCAACAGATATTGTCTTTTTTACTTAAACGATCGTGTTCAAGAAATCCCTGACATAAAAGTTTCTCATGTTTGTTTTGTTTCGAATCAACCAATGTATGTACCAATTATTCGCTTGATACGGAAAACGAACAGTACAACTCAATTCTCTCTCTCTCTCTCTCTCTCTCTCTCTCTCTCTCTCTCTCTCATTCTTTCGCTATACTTATGACTAACTTCTCTTTTCGTATTCGTCTGGGCTACCGCCCCGCACCGATTCTCGCCAAGAGCGTCGCGTGCAGCGGCACGTTAACTGCATCGTTGTAAAGCAGATTTCATTTAAAGAGGCACAACGGAGGCGGAAAGGTCGTAAGAAAAAGAAGAGATACACCGAGAACGCATGTGGCCCGTCTATATAATTTTCATTTGCACTCGTGGCTACGCTTAACTGCGACCGGGGCGAAATAATGCTTAATGGAATACCTGTACAGGGCGATTCACAGTTAAGTTGAGAAACTATGCATGTAAATCTTGAGTAAAGATGAAAAAAACATAAGTGAATGCATTTCAAAAGGAAGTTGAATTGTACAATAAATTTTTTTATATCAAAATCTCTTCTCTTTCTAGAATATAAAATAAAAATTTAGAAAAAAGAATAACTTTCGAGTAATTTTTAACAGATTTTTTAGATAACCATATGATAATGATGAATTTTTATAACAACATATTGTTTAAAACTTCGAAAATAGGGAATCTCTTAATTGTCCAATTTATTTACTGTTTTAATAATAGAAGATATTTTTTAAAATTAATAATTAGTAAAATTTTATTGTTTGTTTTCACAATTCTTTCTTGGTTTGTCATTTTTTACTATCAGTTTGAAGTGAAGGAGAGAGAGAGAGGGGGGGGAGAAAGCGTGCATTTATTTAAAGCGCTCTGGGATGACATCCCCTCAGAGAAAGAGAGAGAGAGAGAGAGAGTAGAGACTGAGTCGACAAGGCACANAGGGGATA